CCACTGATCTAAAGATTTTCTTTCCTTCCCATCCTGCTTTAACCTTCACAGCTGCTTTAACATTACACAACAGTTTCAACTCTACTGTGCAGTTATCCTCCGTCTGCTCTACTTCTGAGCACTTCTGGATCACACTTTGGCTGGAACCTTGCCCTTAACTGTTCTGTCCTGGATGATCCTAAGAGAGTACATGACACTAGATAGCGTTGCTCTCAGGGGTCACTGGAACACGCAAGCCTCTTCACCACTACATGATGATGATTCAATTTATGATACAGATGCACAAAACCAGTGTTCCTCCTCCCCCCAAAAAAGAGATCTGTAGTAGGATTTGCACTGTTCAAGATATTCATAAAAGATCTGAAAAAGGCGGTGAATACTGAGGTGGCGAATTTGCGGATTATATAGTTCTGGTCTCAAGCACATGGGGAAAATATTTTATTTTTATGAAATTTGTATTTTGGGTCAAAACTGAAGGTGACATTGCCTGGTAAGCATTATCAATGTGTGTAGCGCAGTAAAAAAAACCTGCGAGTTTAGAGTTTATCTACTGGGCTTACAGTCCAAGAGCCTGTCCCTGACAACAATTAATACTAGGCACACTGCTTAATATTGTGACCAGTCTACTTAAATGAGAAGCAAGCATTGATATTAGTAACCTTTGTGCCTGGTAGCCTCAGTGTGTTCATTCCTCTGCACAGAACTATATTGTATGCTGGCACTTCTGATTTATCTTAAGACTTCATAGTTAGTGAAGAGGTGCATGTTGGTAGTTGATAGTTGTAGAAAAAGTAGGCATACATGTACATTTGTTAAATTTAAAAAAGGTGGAAGCATGCACTAAGATGTTCATTGTAACAGTGTCAGAAAGGCCATACTGGGTCAGGCTAGTGGTTAATATTACACGGTATTCTCTCTTCTGACAGTGGCCAATGTCAGATTTTTCAAAGGGAATGAACAGAACATGGCAATTCTCCAGCAATCCAGCCTATCATCCTGTCCCAGATTTTGGCAGTCATGTTTGGGGAAACAAAGCATGAAGTTGCATCCCTGACCATCTTGTCTAATAACCATTAATTGACCTTTTGTCCATATCATATCTAACCTTAAACAACAAGTAGCCATGGGCAAAACCAACAGAACTAACACAGCTACTAGGGAACATTAAATTTCAATTAATCAGCTAATCGAATAGTTGATGGAATTATCTGTGAATAATCTGTGCCATGTAAAATAGTGCAAATCTTAGAAAAAAATTCTCTTTTACTTTTAATAATCTCAGATAATATTTAATAGCACAACAAATTTATTTTGTTTGTTATGACATCCTACTTTAAATCAAATAATCCTTAATCCAGGCTGCCATGAAATATTCTAGATACTGATGAACCTGTAATCAGAGGACTTCAGTTTTAGATGGCTACCACATATGAGATGGATGTATTGGTGGTCCACCAACCAAAATTAATTCTAAAAATGAACAAGAATTAGCTTGGGACATGTCAAGTACTTTTGACTTTAATGCAGGATATTCATTTTGGAATCTCTGCTACTCATTAATTTATGTTTTAGTTCAAACAATGTTATGTACAGTAATATCCGAGTAAATTATACATTCTCATTTTATCATTATGTACTATGAAACAAAAAGAGCTCTAACAAGCTAGCTGTTCTTTGTGAGCATTAAACACATGGGTTAAGGACTACTCCAGACATAGCATTCATATATTTAGATTTTGCTTTCACAAGACTTTTTTATACTGATTTCAAATCAACTCAAGATAAGATATGTAGCACAGATACATCCATAGGCCTAGAATTCCAGATCAAACTGAAGCTCCAGAAGTCCTACTTAGCACCTTTGGAAGACATCCTGTGCTTATGTAACACAGTTAGGTCAGACTATTGCAACAGCACAGTTACCATCAACCTAACCTTATCCATTTCTTGTATGCTTGCAGAGCCACTACACCACAGTACCATGCATTGAAGTGTGCTGCTTAAAATGACATGAGGAAAAATAACTTAATTTCTTATATGTGCCATAAAAACAGGCTTAATTATTTTGTTATGCTAATTCCCCCTAAAAACTAGATTTCTGAGATATCGGGGAAATAGAGTGGTTCTCTCAGCTGGAGGTTACTGGAACAAGTCCTCTTCAGAAACAAAACCACTGGGATATTTTGAAAATTTTCCTTAACATGCATCAACATTTAAAACCAAACTCTCAGTGGGGACCATACAGTGATACACTAACACCATACATAGATACAGCACTGTGGGACACAGACAGCCTACTCAAGGAACCTCATTAGCACCAGGACTACTACTGATAGCATGGGCGGCTGGTGAAGGTAAGGCTGGGGAAGGCAAGCCCCATCATGGAGAGCAAAGGATGGCAGGCAGTGCATGGCTCCCAACTTCCCCAGCCGGGGAGAGTGGGCAGGATATGGCCCCCAGCCTCCCCGGCATTGGGAGAAGAGGGGCAGGCATTCAGGAGCAGCAACACTCTGCCCCCAGAACACCTACAAAAGACATAGGGGTGGAGCGTGGGTGCGGCCAGGGTAGCGGTTTGGGAAAATAATTCCTTTCCTCACCTAACATACTGACTACCCATGATTGACAGAGGTTTTTTTTTCCCCACTCCACTCCCTTCCTTTTCTGTTATAAATGTGGAGGTTCCCCTTTTTTTCTCCACTCATCTGAGGAAGTGGGTTTTGCCCACAAAAGTCCACGATACTATACATCATGCTGGTCACTGGGGTGCTACAGGGCTCCTCATTTTTTTAAGGTATAAACCCCAACAGTCCAAGTCCACAACACCCTTCATCCCCAGGCATGACACTTCCTGACACACACAGGACACACCTCCCGCACCAGCTGCTCATATGGAACCCTCCAGGCATGACACCTGTCACCGGGCACACACAGGCCTCCCCCCTCCCCCGACACGCACTGCCCCGCATCCATGACACAATTCACACACATAACACTCGCCTCCCCCCACATACGTGACCAGGGGGTGGGAGGAGCCGCCCCCGCCCCGTTACCTTCTCCAGGGGA